GTTTTACTGGAGAGTCTCAGAGACATTAAACCAGTTACCAAAAGTCACACAGCTGCTTAGCATTTCACTGGGATTAGGGAAAGAATGAAAGAGAATTAACCACCTTGAAAATGAAAAACTATCTGCCTTCAGGGCATTTAGGCCTGAAACAAAGCTTCTGATAGCCTTTTGTTAAACATTCTATCAGGGTTGCTAGGAACTCTGTCTTCTCCACAGCCAAACGTATGCAGAAGTCTTCTTGCTGTTTTCAGAAGAGTATCGATGCCTTATGATGGTTTGGACTGACTATTTCTTCCAGGTGAAAATTTTACTTAGTGTTTAGGGATAAAGAACTGTGAAGAAATTTTTAAAGTGTTATCTACTTAAGATGAATAGACATTTGAATTTAACTTTAGAATCCTTTAAATGGCAGCTCATTTGCTTTTATTTTTAAAAAGTTCTTTCAATAGTAAATTTTAAAAAGTACAAGATGGGATTTGGACATGGTTTCAGCCACTCATGGTAGCAGGCAGTGGTATCAATTCCAAAAATAAATAGCATATTATAGCAAATGCAAGTAAGAGACTTAGATCCTTATCACAATCAAGTTGTAGAGACATGATTTGAGGAAACTCTGGCTCCCAAACCTCTCCCCGATTTGCCTGAGATTTACTATTAAACATCCAGAAATATTTTTTGAATATACATCCTTGGGGGATGTGCCATTTCAAGTTCATTGGTAATAAATGTAGAAGGAAAGGCCGGTAGTGAGGTGACAGAAGTTGTCACTAGCTGTGGAAGAAATGAAGGAAGTGAGAGAAATATAGGCAGTAGCTGTAGGCATTTTGCAGCCCAAAGGTGCAGTTAACTGCCTCCAAACTATGCCGGGCTCTAGAATGTTCAACTGACCGTGGACTTCACATTTCTAAAGATACACTCACTAACATTAAGTAGCTGATAAAACCATCCTCGGAAATAATCTTTTAAAATGCCTTTGGAAAATAGAGAAGGGAAAAGAGAAAAGAAAAACGATGTAAGAAAGTGTGGGAGTGCCTCTTCTCTCCAACATTTCTGAGAGAAGATGGGAATTGAAAACCTCAACCAAAATGTTGCCCTAATCTCACTTGGCTAATTTTAGTTATCTTGGTTCATGGCTATGATTCATCCCTAAAGCTGTGAATTGCTGAGGAGGATGGAGGAAAAAATTGAGTTAAATGTCAAAGAAGTAAGAACAAAAATACAGTTTTCTTTTGGGGGGGGGGGACTAGAATTCCAGGATATGGGGATCTTTTTACTTATGAGGGACTGAATGTTTCAAACTTCTTGAAAAATAATCTTCAGTCAAAACACCATCAAGGAATAAAAGACAGCACTGATTATGAGTCACGTCATGTTTGAAATTTGCCTACATAATGTATTTTCCTTTTTTCCTGTGTACCTGCTTAAATCACATTAAAATAGAAGTCACTAATAATCATATGTAGTTGAGTATGACAGAAGCTTAATATGTAGATTGTATAAGAAACGGAACTCTTAAAGTACATGAAGGAGAAATGAATGGAGACAAGCAGAACTATGAGAAATAAGTCTGGGGAATGGGATGGTAGCACAGAGGAGAAAGATATCTAAATGATAGTCAGATGTTCTCTTGCCGGCTAATGAATAGGGGGCAACAGACATGCATGGTTTGGTTGAATTCTATCTTAAAGAATAATGTTTTTCAGGGCTCCCTGGTGGTGCAGGGGTTAAGAAGCAACCTATGAAGCTATCCACAGCCACTGCAGCAAGAGTTCGATCCACATGGCACAGCAGACCTCTCCTGCCTCGCCTGCTGCTCCCCTCAGCAGTGTATTTCAGTCAGACTGCCTGTTCTGTTCCCTGCTCTATCTCTGGTGAATCCTCTTACCCCCCGCATCTCTGGCCTGTACCCCAGTTCTTGTATGCACAAATAAATCTTAAAAAAAAAAGAATAACGTTATTCATTTACTAGGCGTCCCTTAGTAAACTGGTTACCATTTTGAATTTTCATAGGTTTGGAGGAAGAAAAGAGCAGTCACTGACTCATACTCAGCTCAAATATTTATTTCACTGTCTGAACTAGTTGACCCTCTACAAACTGCTTAGCCACTATCTGTGTGTTTGCCTCTTTTTGCTCTTAAAACTTGTAAGCCATAAACATATATGATGGCTGTAAAACAAGCAACTATAAACTGAGACACACTACGGGGGGCGGGGAAGAAGGGAGTAGGATCAAAACAAGGGTGATGGGAATTATATGGGGACTATAACCAAAATGAAAATGCATACGTTGTGCAAAAATGAAAAATGATGTAAAAATATATATAAAATTAAAAAATTAAAATAAATAAATAAAATAGAATCCAGTACTTTAAAACAAATAAAAGAGTTCTTCATAGATAGAGAAAACAGAGGTGGAGGGTGGGGGGAAGGAGAAATGGGTGAAGGGTGTTAAAAGGTACAAACTTCAAGTTATAAAATAAGTCCTTGGAAGGTAATATACAGCATGGTGACTATAGTTGATAATACTGTATTGTATATTTTCAAACTGCTAAGGGAGTAGATCTTAAAAGTTCTCATCACAAGAAAAAAACTTGTAAGTATGTATGGTGATGGATGTTGATTCGTGGTGATCATTTTGCAATGTATAAAATATTGAATTATGTTGTTCACTGAAACTAATATTAAATCTCAATTTTAAAAAGAAAACAAGTTTCAAATACCTCAGAGCAGATTGCTAGAGATCTGAAGTTATGAGGAGGTAGCTTCAAGACACGACTTTGAACTTGATTTCTGCACCTACACCTATACCCAGACTCCTCAGAGCACTCTTGTCACCTTCATTGATGCTCTGCTCTTTCGTGTCCTCATATTTGGTACAGCAATCACTTTCTCATCACTCAATACACAAAGTGTCATTCACCAGATGTGACAAGTGCATCTTCATAAACTACTGGGATACTTAAGAGGTGAAGGGGATTCTGGAGCTTTCAGGAAACTTCTTATATGCTTGGCTTATACATAAGGAAACTGAGATCTTGAGGGTCTGAAGTCTTCTTGCCCTTTCTTCTTCTCGAAGATGTTAACTAATGCCATGGCTGTGACTACCTATTATTGTTTCTGGTGGAGAAATATTTTAAGTTCACAGGAAATATTTGTCAGATGGGCTCTTACCCACCCTCACTTCAATGACCTTTATTACAGATCCAGTTTTTGATAAAGACTGGACATTTTCAATTTTCTGGGCCTCTGAGTTGTGCCAAAGGGCAAAGAAGACCTGTTCCTACTGTTCATATCCATGATCAACTTTCACCTTGTTTGGCAACATTATGGGTTGAACTGTGTTCCCCATACCTATATGTTGAAATCCTATCTCCTAATTCCTATGAACATGACCTTATTGCAGATTTCATTAAGTGAAGATGAGGTTTTAGGGAGAGTCTTAATACAATATGACTGATGTCATAAGAATACAAGCATGTGAACACACAGAAGGCAGAATGTCATGTGACAACAGAGGCAGAAAGGGAAGTGATGTAGCTGCTAGTCAAGAAATGCTGAGGATTGCCAATCACAAGCACAAGCTAGGCAGAGACAAAGGAAGGGATTACTCTCTCTAGGTTTCAGGAGAGTGTGTCTCTGCCAACACCTTGATTTCAGACTTCCAGCTTCTAGAACTGTGAGATACAACCCAGTTTGTGGTACTTGCTGGCTGTCTAGGAAACGAATATATGCAGTAATAAAGGCAAAGAGGAAGGGCAACTAGAAGCCAAAGGAAAGGAAGAATTTTCCTTTCCTTCCAGCTTTTTTCCTGGTTTATTAATGTCACTGGTATTAATTTTTTAAAATTTTATATATATTTTACATCATTCTTCCTTTTTGTACAATGTGTACTTTCTCCTCTCAGGTTTAATACCCGTAAAATTCCCACCACCAATTCACCTGTGCACCATCACCATAGTCCCTTGTGACCTTCTCTTCCCTTTTGGTATTAATTTTTGATGGAAATGATCCAGAATGGTGTCACATGATCCCTTGAAAAATAATTCATCTGGGGAATCTCCCTGCCCACTTCTTCCAAATATAATTTAACTTGCTATTTAAGTAATTTCCATCACAGAAGTCAGCTGTGTTTCAGTGTTCTAGGTTAATAATCTTGTTGCTTTCCTTAACCACATGACTTTGATTTTTCTGTTTTACTTATTGTCTTATAATATTTTATTTTATAATAAAATATAAATACATGAGTAGCAATATGCATTTTCTCAGAATATGGACTGAAAGGCACTTTAAAATACTGTCCATAATATATTTTCATGTCCAAATGATAATGCACACAATGATATGTTGCAATTCTGATTTGTTCTCCATAAAAAATACTAAAAATCAAATCAAGCTTGACTTAAAATAATCAATTTCAGTAGTTTCTTTTGTAATTCTGTTCCCTATTTACATATATCACAAATGGAGAGAAGACTACTTATCACCATGTAGTTCCAAACAACTATTTTAAAGTTCTTATAAATTCTATATGCATTGAGTGTCCACATTTAAAAAATATATCAAGAATATTCATGTCACACAATTTTTAAGCAGCTACATTCTATAACCTCCAAGGTAATCTCTATTACTCAATTATGCAAAAATGACAAGGGACTTTTGTGAAGAGTTGCCTAGGTTTAGTGCTAAACAAATGTCTAAGAGTTGGTACACACAGATCTCTTTGAATAGAAATCTTAAATCCTTGCAGGTTGTTTTAAACTCTTCTTGCAGGGTGGGGTTCAATTTATGATCTATACAGAGTATTTCTGGATGCCCATATCTTTGAAGGCACTTGGATATACAAGTCACACCTAATGTCAAGCCAGTAGGTCAATCAATGCATTGCACTGCTCCATCTGTGGGGCGTTTCTGCCATGTCTACTTGAGGAGTCACACAATCTGAGCCTAGATGACAATACAAGGAACTGGACTGTCAGAAGTACAGTGTTGGAGACACTTACTTGAGTGTGGTGAGTTCTGTAAGGGATGGCTGCGTGGCCTTGAGATAGCTTTCTCTTCGTGCAGCAACTTTAGGAGAGGGCTTAGGACTTGTGTCTGAGTCACCACTGTCTTCATCTCCCATGGCCTTGATGTAGCTGCCGCTCCGCATCCTTCGGCATGGGATTTCATCATCTTTACCTCGAGGGTTGTACCCTGCCCAGTCATCTTGAGGAACCTAGTCATACATAAAACAGAAAATTCATTTTTCATAAACTCCTACATTTTTCTTTTTTTTAATATGACCCTGAATGTGGGTAATACAGATTATTATCTAATGCTTTAGATATTAGGTTTTCAATAATGGCTTTTTTTATTATAATTGGGTCAAAAATATTTTTAAATAAGTGAAAATCCATGTCTCAATCTTTAAAATTAACTGTGTGTCAGAAAAATTAAAACCATTTTTCACTTATAGCAGGAATACAGGGGAACCAAATAAGACATCAGTGTAAAAAAAATAGTAACAGTACAAAACACAACAAAGCAAAAACAGACAATTATAAATCAGACATGCTGCAGGGGAGGAGGCAGGACAGGGATCAGAGGGAGGAGCTCAGGGGACTGAGGTGATGGTGCACGGGTGCATTGGGGAAGGAAACTATGGGGACTAAACCTGAGGGGGTGGGGAAAAGCAAATATTGTTTAAAAATGAACAGTGATGTAAAAAATAAAAAAAAATTAATATAAAAATAAAAATAAAATAAAACTCTAAAAAAAGAAAAGAAAAATTAAAACCATTGACTGATTTACTTATACTTCTCAGTTTTCTCATGCTGATAATATTGAGTCAAGCATGGGAAAGGAGGCCAGTTTTATTTGAGTTTTTCAATGATATGTTTTCAATTATCATTTAAAATGCAAGAATGCTGTATGGCAGCTCCATTCTGAGTAGACTGAGGAACCTCCAGACAGCTTTCCACAATGGTTGGACCAGTTTGCACTCCCATCAGCAGTGTAGGAGAGTTCCTTTTTTACCACATCCTCACCAACATTAGTTATTATTATTATTATTTTTTAAGGATTTATTTATACAAGCACTGGGTACAGTCAGAAGCGTGGGAGGGTGAGAGAATTCACCAGAGCTAGAGCGGGGAGCAGAGCAGGCAGAAGGACTGAAGCATACTGCTGAGGGGAGCAGCGGGCAGCAGGAGAGGTCTGCACGCCATGCGGGACCCTCCTCCCGTGACCGGGGAGCAGCCGGGGATCGAACCGGCACCGCAGAGGCAGCGGGCAGCTTCTCAACCCAGTGCTCAACTGCTGCGCCACCGGGAAGGCCCTGTTTTTTTTTTTTTTTTTGATATGTGCCATTCTTACTGGTGTAAGGTGGTATCTCAGTGTGGTTTTGATTTGCATTTCCCTGATGATCAGGTATGTTGAACATTTTTTCATATGCTTGTAGGGATCTACCCAAAGGACACAAAAACAGTGTTTCAAAAGATCACCTGTACACCTATGTTTATTGCAGCACTATTTACAATAGGTAAAACCTGGAAACAACCCAAATGCCCAAAAATAGATGACTGGATCAAGAAGATGTGGCATATATACACAATGGAATATTACTCAGCAATCAAAAAAGATAAACTCATGCCATTCACAGCAATGTGGACGGAGCCAGAAGGAATTATGCTCAGTGAAATAAGGCAGAAGGAAAAAGAAAAATATCGGATGGTTTCACTTATAACAGGAATATACAGGAACCAAATAAGACATCAGTGTAAAAAAATAATAATAACAGTACAAAAAACAACAAAGCAAAAACAGACAATTATACACCAGAGACACACTGCAGGGGTGGAGGAGGGAGAGGGGTGAGAGGGAGGGAGGGAGGAGCACAGGGGACTGTGATGATGGGGCATGGGTGCCTTGGGGAAGGAAATTCTATGGGGACTCAATCTGAGGGGGTGGGGGAAGCAAATATTGTCTAAAAAATTGTAAAAAATGATAAATGTTAAAATAAAAAAATGAAAGGAAAATAAAAAAAATGAAATGCAAGAATGCTTCTGTTTTCTCTACATATACACTATGCCTTTCATTTTCACCATCTTATATCCAATCTCCTTTCTTAAACCAATGGTCTATATTGGCTACACTGGATTCCCAGTTTCTATTCTTTCTGAGTCCCTCTTGGTTTAGATTTCACCTCCATAGATATGCTTGAGATACTTTTTCAGTGATATCTTTGGGAAGTTAGTGACATTTCTTCATATGTTTTCTTTTGGCTTTTACACACACACATACACACACAACCTCTTATGAGTTTCTTTACTTACCTAATGTAGCTAGTATTTATTGGAATTGTTCTTTTCTGCTTGCTTTACTGGATTCTACTCTAAGTTCCCAATTGTGGGTACCACACAAGATAATGTTCTCAGTATGCTTTTTCTCCCTTTCTATAACCATTTTCTTTAATTCAGTGGAGTATTACACTGTACTGTAGAAGACATCTTACACCTTTCATTTTAGATTTTTCCACTTCAACATAGTCTCAGTTTAAGATCTCACTTCTCTTTCATTTCATAAAAGAAATACACAATGACCATTCTTTTTATCCAAAGAAGTAACAAACAGCTTAGAGCACACAGAAAGCTGCATAGGCTAATTCAAAGAAGACCAAAGAGTGAGAGGCTGGTTTTTGCCTTCAACATGCTTATAACAGAGAGAGAGGACAAAGCATAAATAAATTTGGGAATAGTAGCAAATTAACATTTTAGCAAGTTTCAGATTTGGTGCCACATACGGTGGTCACTAGCACCAAGGGTTATTAATAACAGTGATGGAGAAGTTAGTATCTAGGAAGTGTCCTAGAGTATCCTGGAACTGGTCAGGTTTGCAATGTTATGTTTCATCAACACAACAGCACTGGGATTTTTGTATGTTTGTAATTCTCAGATGAGAAGGAAGAGCTCAGAAAGCATAGTAAATTTACCAGAAACACATAAAGGTAGTAAAAGAACACATAACAGTACTGGGAGTCAAAGGTGCTTTTACTCCAAGGGCAGAATTAACTTAATCTAAACTTTATGATTAATAATATGAATTTTAAGACAAGTATTCAGAAACTTGTCCACAATGGCATGCACACATATTAGACATTGATTTATAAATTTTCTAGGTTCTATGTAGTGAGAAGGGATGTTCAATTAAGAAAAACACTGCTCTTTCCTCCTGAAACTATGAATTTATCTATATAATTGGAAAGTTTACATCTAGAAACATCAGGGTAAAGTGATGCTACTATTCATGGATCTGAAAACAGTGGTTTGGAGGTAACAATAAAGTGTGATTAAGCTTTACCATGTAGCTTATTTTATTTAACAGGTACTGTTCCAAACACTTTAAAATGTTAACCCATTTGGTCTAGACAGCTGAGGGATAGTATCATCATTACTATAATCATTTTACAAATGAGAAAACTGAGGATGTGATACTTTCCCCAAATCCCAGCTACAAAAAGGCAGAGTTCCACCCCAGCAACTCCTGTGCAACTAATGGTGCTGGTGACCACAATTTGATGCTCTCTTTCTAGGCTGCAATCTGTGGCGCCTACAGAACCAAGCAACTGTATTCCCAGGATACCTTTGTAATCCATCATATCTGATTCATTTACAATTTGTTAATTGTGGTAGCAACAATGTAGCATTTTCATTTTTTTAGCTAAACAGTCTTGAAATCACCATAGCAACAATGGAGCTTTCTTAGGGAAATTACACATGTTGAGAATAGTCTTGTTTTCCTTCATTTGGGAGGTGACTCACTGTAAAGATATCATCGTGTTCAGAACCTCATTATTGCTATCACATTTTATAAATTAAGTTGAACAGAAAGGGTCATAGATGATGCTGATAACGTGTTATTTCTCAGTACTTGGCACACAGTTCGTAAGCATTGCTCTCTGGAATATGTCAGAGGCTAGTGACAAACTTTTAGCTCTCATCACTTATGAAACAAAACATGACAAATTTCTGTTTGGGTGCTTGTTTTTTTTCCAAAGTTAGATTATGGTAGATACCTGAGCTTGTATTAGAAATTGACTACAGACATTGCTAAGGGAACCAGCTGAGAATTATTACGTTGGAATGGAATTTTAAAATCAACCCATTATTCATTCACCTAAAGGTAGTATAGAACAAGATTATATAAAAAATGATACAGAAATAAGCTGTAGAAAACATGAAGAGAAACAAAGAATCAAGATCTTAGAGAAGAAAAATATTTGTTGCTGAATTCTAAGGACTGGCAATGCTGTTATAATTGAACCACAGTTTTCATTCTGAATCTTTCACACTCTAAAGCAAAGGGGATGATAGTTGTCCGGTACATGATTTTCAAAGAAAATTTGTGAGGGGTCTGGAGCATGAAATGTTTCTCCATTTTGATTGGAAAGAAAGGAGGATCATGTGGTTTCAGCCACTATTGTGATCTAGAAAAGACTCCTGTGATTTATGCTTCAATTACACAAAGAGAAAAGATTTGGGGTAATGCAAAGTAAAACCTAACATAGCAGCTGTCTGAAAAAAATCTTCATTATTACTGGTCCTAGCAGTTTAAGTGAATAGACTCTCAGGAAGAAGGATGCTGGAGCAGACAGTAAAGCAGCCTGGACGCTCAATGACAGGCTGATCCAATTTGTCCTGCTTGTATGCACCAACTGACTGAGTGGTTGGAACAACAAATGGTAAAGAAATAATAACAAAATCATTGAGATGCTACAAAAACAAAACATATAACACAACCCCCCCCAAAAAAAATAGGCAGAGTACTAAACAGACACTTCTCCAAAGAAGACATTCACACTGCAAACAGGCACATGAAAAAATGTTCACCATCACTTATTAGGGAAATGCAAATCTAGATTACCATGAGATACTATCTCATACCTGTGAGAAAGGCCTATATGGAAAAGACCAGAAACAAGCGCTGGAGAGGATGTAGAGAAAAGGGAACCCTCCTACACTGCTGGTGGAAATGCAAACTGGTCCAGTGCTTATGGAAAGCAGTATGAAGGTATCTCAAAACATTAAAGATGGATCTGCCATTTGACCCAGTAATTCCATCTTAGGCATCTACCCTCCAAAGTTCAAAAACACTAATTCAAAAGGAAACCTGCATTCCCATGATAACTGCAGTGCTATTTACTCTAACTAAACCATGATAACAACCTAAGGGCCCCAA